ACCACAAAAATCACCATCAACTCAATTAAAGGTAATAATGTGCCAATTTCAACATTCTACACAAGATAAAATAATCAATAACAATTTTCTGCTATAAATCTTGTAAAAAAAGATCTCATCTTATAACTGATCCGTCTTATAGGTGGGTAAAAAGTACAAGAGTATTAAACTAACCCTTTTCCTATTGAATTATTAGGGGGATATCAAATGAGACAGGTTATATCCTGATGGCAAAGCCTATTCACTTTCTGTTTCACCACGTTAAGGATTAAAGTGACTTTAAAGTGATTTATATGCTCATTTTTTGTCATCAAGTTATATTGAACAAGAATGTCGAACGACACATATACCCCCCTTTCTAGCCATTGACTCACATAATTGATAATTTTATTACATAAACTTGCCAAAAATGGGTACATGGAAGTGTTCAATTATGGAAAAATAAACAGAAACCATTTTGACATTTAAGGCCCATGTGACATTGACCTTTGACCTAATGACCCCTAAATCAATAGAGGTCATCTACTTCTTATGACCAATAACTAGGTGAAATATGAAGACTTTGTGATGAATACTTTTCAAGATAATCAGCGGAAACCCTTTTGACATTTAAGGCCCCTGTGACCTTGACCTTTGACCTAGTGACCCCAAAATCAATAGGGGTCATCTACTAGTTATGACCAATCACTGTGTGAAATATGAAGACTTTGTGATACATACTTTTCAAGATAATCAGCAGATACCATTTTGACATTTTAAGGTCCCTGTGACCTTGACCTTTGACCTAGTGACCCCAAAATCAATAGGGGTCATCTACTAGTGATGACCAATCACTGTGTGAAATATGAAGACTTTGTGATACATACTTTTCAAGATAATCAGCGGAAAACATTTTGACATTTAAGGTCCCTGTGACCTTGACCTTTGACCTAGTGACCCCAAAATCAATAGGGGTCATCTACTAGTTATGACCAATTACTATGTGAAATATGAAGACTTTGTGATACATACTTTTTAAGATAATCAGCGGAAACCATTTTGACATTTAAGGTCCCTGTGACCTTGACCTTTGACCTAGTGACCCCAAAATCAATAGGGGTCATCTACTAGTTATGACCAATCACTATGTAAAATATGAAGACTTTGTGATAAATACTTTTCAAGATAATCAGCGGAAACCATGTGGTCTACCGACGGACAGACCGACAGACCGACGGACAGACCGACATTAGCAAAACAATATACCCCCTCTTCTTCAAAGGGGGGCATAACAAGAGCTGTCACAAGAGACAGCGAAGCTCGACTAATAAAATACTGGACGCAGTAAGGAGGACAAAACTATGAAAGAAAAATCAATTATGTATAATTATGTATTAAGTTATAATTAAAAAAATAATATTTGTTAACATAAATTCCATGATCAAGGGGAATAATTCTAGAAATAGTCATGCTAGAGTTATGGACCTTGTCAAACAACATTTGTGTAATGATAAGAAATATATATTTGAAGTTTGAAGTAGATACCTTAAAAAGTAAAGAAGTTTTTATATTTCTTTAAGAAAATCCTAAGTTCAAAGAGAGATAAATGTGTAAATATTGCTTCAAGAGTAATGAACATTGTCACATTAAATGTAATTGATGATAAGGAATAAGTATTGTAAGTTTGAGGTAGATACCTTTAAAAATAAAAAAGTTATAATAAAAAATAACTTTTTTCTAGTAAAATAATCTAAGTTTATGGGGAGATAATTCTTGCAATATTGGTGCTAGAGATTATGAACCTTGTCACATAAGATGTGGATGATGATAACGTAAATATATTTGAAGTATGAAGTTGATCCTTTAGAAATAAATAAGTTACAGTAAAAAAAATATTTTTTATGGAAAACTCTAAGTTCAAAGGGAGATAAATCTGAATATATTGGTGCTAGAGTTATGAACCTTGTCACATAAGATGGGGATGATGATAACGTAAATATATTTGAAGTATGATGTTGATCCCTTAAGAAATAAAGAAGAAACAGTAAGAAATAGTTCTTTTTGAGGAAAATTCTAAGTTCAAGGGGAGATAAATCTGAAAATATTGGTGCTAGAGTTATGAACCTTGTCACATAAGATGGGATGATGATAAGGTACATATATTTGAAGTATGAGGTTGATCCCTTAAGAAATAAAGAAGTAACAGTGAAAAATAGTATTTTTTAAGGAAAATTCTAAGTTCAAGGGGAGATAAATCTGAAAATATTGGTGCTATAGTTATGAACCTTGTCAAATAAGATGGGGATGATGATAAAGTACATATATTTGAAGTATGAGGTTGATCCCTTAAGAAATAAAGAAGTAACAGTAAAAAATAGTATTTTTTAAGGAAAATTCTAAGTTCAAGGGGAGATAAATCTGAAAATATTGGTGCTAGAGTTATGAACCTTGTCACATAAGATGGGGTTGATGATAAGGAACATACGTTTGAAGTTTGAAGTTGATACCTTAAGAAATGACAAAGTTATAGTGAAAAATATTTTACTGCACCAAAACTTTAATCTAAAATCTGGACGCGGACGCGGACGCCGACGCCGACGCCGGGGCGAGTAGGACAGCTCTCCATATACTTCGTATAGTCGAGCTAAAAATGTATCACACTATTTTGCAATCTGCACTGGTCAGTTCTTAAACTATTTTCTACATATTTCTGCCTGTTCTTTAGAATGAAACAATTATAACAATGAAAACTGAAATAAGAATTAAATAAAAACAAACAAGAAAGCTTTATGACTTTTCTAAGAAAGGTATTGGTTTCAGAGGAAATTGTATGAAACTGTAAAACTGGGTACGAAAATATTTGGTACGAAAATATTTGAGTACGAAAATGCAAGAGAAATACGTTTTTTCCAACAACAACAGACAGAAATTAAAACAGTTTTGTTTATTTTAGCAGAAGTATGACAATGTATGTATATTCTCTAAACAAATTGAATATAAGGTACAGTAAACTCCTACGATGATAATCTGCCACATTAATTTTGTCAATAATTTTACTGGAGTTACCTCCCTTCTGTACACTTCCTGCTACTTTCGGTTTTAACATAAGCGTTGTTGACTACTGTTTTTTAGTTTTCAGTCCATTGAAAGTTAACTATATTTTATTTGTATGAAATCAAAACATCACCTTTTTCTTAAATATCAAACATTAACACTACAATTTTTTTTTTTTTTGAGGGGAATTTTTTACTGAAATAGGGGAAAAAACCATATGATTTTGAGGCAATCCGGTCAACTCGTCCCTTGGTCAACTCGTCCTCTGGTCAACTCGTCACCTTTTTGGTCAACTCGTCCCCTACTTTTGGTCAACTCATCCTCAAAGAGTCAACTCGTCCCTAATATGGTCAACTCGTCCCCTACTTTCGATCTTTTCGTCACTATTATGTTGTAAACCAATGTCTTTAAATAGTTCTTTTATGTAAAATTAATAATGAATTTGATTGATATCGAAATATTAATAAAATAACGTTTTTTTGTTTTTTTTTCGTACAATTTTAATGATCTTTATCTAAGCGCACGTGCATAGCTTTGATGTAAAACTACAAAGACATGTAAGTTTGCAAACATTCAATTAATGTTTAATCAATCGGATTTTTAATGTTAATTAAAACTAAAATTAGGTCCAACTCTTTGATTTTTAGATTGTATACACGGTAGCAGTCATACTTCTCATAATTAAAAATAAGTCTTAGACAAAATTGTAGCGAATTTGAGAAATGCCTTCATGGATTCATACATCACCGCATTAAAGAGATAAATATATCTATAATAGTTGACCAGTGCCTATCTTATTGGTATTGTTATATACTTCTATTATTTTATAGGATGGCTTAGAAGACTGAATGGGAGGGCCAGGGGAACGCCTCCATTCTACCTTTTGGTTAGACTTTTGTACAGTGAGGCCCAGGTAGCGGTAAGGAACTCTGAATTGGTAAGTGAAGGGAGACTTCGCCGCTATATATACCAACGGAAAAAATACACCTTTCTCCAGGGATAGACGCTCCAGCTGTGTGACAGGTACAGGAATGGGGAGTTGTCATCAACGGGACTTCTGGGAGAATTCGGGAACTTATATAAACCCCAAGAGTCGTAAGATGTCAACAACAAAAAAGACAATGAAATATGTGCATGCAAAAAAAATGAAAGTGAAAGTGAATATATATGACATAATATTGACAAAAAAGACATACTATATGATATTTTATCATTGCATATGAAACATGTTTTTATACATTAAATGTTGTTGCTATTGATAGTCTTTGTGTTGTTTTTTCTGTATGTAATTTAATCAGAATTATGCATATATATACTTATTATTAGAAAAAAAACCTTCAAATATTTGCATACAAAAAGCGTCAAAATATGTCAAATTCAGTCATTTTATCATATATTTTAACAGTCTATAATAATTTATGGAATATATGATAAACAAATAATAATAAAATATAGGGGACGAGTTGGGGACGAGACCAGGGGACGAGTTGTCCAAGGGACGAGTTGACCAAAAAGGTGACGAGTTGACCAGAGGACGAGTTGACCAGGGGACGAGTTGACTCTGAATCATTTTGAGAGGGGAATGGGGCCGATATTCGGCCCCAAAAATGGCCAAACGAGTGCCCTGCCTAATTTCATATTATTCTTAATCTTGAAAATTTAAAGGATTATTTTGAAGTGGGGCTCATCCTCACTAAAGTTGGGCGAGTCGTTGTGGGGCTCAAATCGGTACCAATTCCTTAAAATGCATTTGTGACTTGTCTCATAATTTTATTTTATTTACAGTCTTGAAGTTAAATAAAATCATAAAATAAACGCTTTCTTAGCGAATCTGCAGAACTAAAATTGTTTTGTTTATCTATTATAATTTTAATTCATGATTGGAAACTTTTGACAGTTTTTCAAGAGTTACTCCCCCTGAAATGTCACTTTGGCATACCCCGTTATTTACAATTAATTAGAAATACCTGAGGACTGTCTTCAAGTGCATCCTCTAGATGCAGCTTTGGCATTTCCGGCATTTTGGTATTTCTGAGTAGACAACGGCCAGCTAACACATTAAATAACTATTTTACTTCACTAATTGCAAAAAGTTCGAAACAGGAAGTTGCCAAACGCTATATTCGGAGTGAATAAAAAATAAATACATTTTTAATAGAAAATGAAATTTTCGAAAAAAAATACAACTTAAACAAATGCATGTAATTCACAAAGTTTATTTAGATGTCAAATTTCTCATTAACTTAAAATAAAATGCCCTATTCTAATTAATTATTAATTGTCACGACGTGTAAATTTCATAGTACGCCGCAAAAATGCCGATCGAAAATTTAGAAGAAGAAGGGCTTGCTAAAAACCCAAATTTAGAGCTAGCACAGTGGAAATTTCTTCTGACAACAGATTTACACAAAGATGACAAAGGGCTCAAACAAAAGACATTGGATTTCATTGTCGAAAACAGTAACTTCATAACAATTTTACTTTATTAAAAATGTCATGTCATTGTTTAAAACTGGGTGGGGTAAAATATAACAAACACTTTACCCAGAATAGATTTATTTAATTTATATATATTTTTAGCCCGTATTAATGCGGTATTACAATCATTATTTAATATAAAGAAATGTAATTTCTTCCCCTTTTGCAAATATATCGTGTAATTTCCCCAAATTAATATGAAAAGCCAAAGCCTCCAAGCGAGCTCGATTTAATTTTACCGTGAAATATTATTTAATATTTGTTCATTTTTATTTGACATTTTCCCTTTTAAAATTGTCATTCAGTATTTTACACTGCTTCAATTTATTCTGGTTGCCTGTCCTATTATGGTTCCCATATAATTGTGCAGGACACCAGTCTACGCTTCCGTTTTCAATTAGAACACCTCAGATTTAGCGTTATCATGTTATTCGAAAAGTTGCAGTGTGTCAATTCAGTCAGGGCTCACGCTGTCAGTCGCCATAGTCGCCATTTGCGATTATTTTATAAGATTGACGATTATTGGCTACAAAATCCGGCAATAATTTTTTACTTCCAACAGTGTTTATTTAAGATGTAAAAATCGATAAAGACTGCAGTAGACCCAATTAACACCAGCGGGGTAGATTTAATTGAGTGTCAACTTTTTATCGGTCATGCATTGCTTACTATTGCCTGAGGTGATAAAAATACATGCAGGTGATAAAAATACATGCGAGATGTAAAATTGTATCAGTACTTAAAAGATATAGTCCAGCAGGGCTCTCAGTAGGGTCAGAATTTCACGAGTCAAAGACTCTTTGGCCAAAATTTTCACGAGTCGAACCATTTTTTTTCTAGTGTCATCTAACTACATGAATCATTTTTAAGTTACAAAAATTACTGTATTGGAGGTCATTTTGTGTAGATTCTCAAGTCTCAATTGATAATATTTAACATGGAAAAAATGCCTAGTTATAATGTATATATATGTATATATACCCCCTTCCCCCCCCCCCCCCAAAAAAAAAAAAGACAACAAAAAAACCAAACAAATAAAAAAAATGAACTGCATCTTGTGAAAGAATAAAATAAGCAGCAGCTTTTCTGAATAAATGTATAAAATATAAAAATTATCTTTACTGGTATGCTATATATATCATATTAATTTTAAATACCAAAATGTACTAGGAATATTTAATGGAAAAAGAAATAACAAATGTAACGGTACTCCAAGTAAATCAAAGACCTATTATAAACCTTTAAAAGCAATCAATAATTGACACCCCAAGTATATAATTCTTATCAGTTGTGTAGAGCTATTTTTAGCGCTGTCAAATTACATCCACTGATGTCACGCTTCAGTGCACAGGCTATAAACAATGCTGTGTGTAATACACGGTGATTTGAACATATGTAGGATTTGATAGGTAATTAGGGGTGGATTTAAGGTAATTATCATTGCATAGCTGAATATCCCATGTGGCAAATTGACTCTTGTGCAGATTTTATCACGTGTCAAATGTGTGCATTTCCTGATTTTCATGAGTCAAAACCCGGATCCCCGTGTCAATCGAGAGCCCTGGTCCAGCATTATAATAGCCATCAAAAATCCGTCAATAAGCTACAAAAATCGTCTTAAAATTGATAAACTGGATAATTTTATTGACCAACCCAAAATTTACCGTAAATTGCAGTAATGGCAAATTTTGAATTTTTTTCTTTTAAGCTGCTTGACTTAATCGCCAGTGGAAAACAATGATAAAATAATTAAAAAGTATTTACTACCAACCAACTATTTGTACAACAATCAAAATTTTGAATATTTCTTCAGAAAACAGAAAAAAAATCCGATTGTCACATATTTTCTCGACACCGATAATTTTGACATTTATTTAAAGGTGAAAATAAACTATGTTCTGTTTAAAAATCTTTACTATTATGGCAGAAAATTTGTTTTACATTGGTGATGATGACATTTTTCAGTAAGTTTTCCAGAAAAAAGGTTGCATTCTGTGAATAAGTTTGCAAGTGTTATTTCTATAGGCTAATATGACCTAGATCTACTCCAGTTCTGTGTGAAATATGGAAATTGACAGTGGTTATAGCTGACAAAATTTGATTAGAACAAACAAAAGAAATTGTCTGATAACAGCATTATGTAAAGTTATAATGGATCTTTAATATTATTGTTTAACAGTAATTATACTTTATAACATTTTTATTACATTTTTATTCTGTTCTATAATAACAATTAAAGTTGTGGTTCTATGTGAAAAGGTAGTTATTAATATACACAAAAGTATCAGTTTATTTAAGAATCCTTATAAAACTAAAAAAGTTTTATATGTATTGTTTATATAATCAACTGCTTATGTTGTTAATCGCTAAATCGTGAATATAGTCCGCTGAACTTTTGGCTATTATTTTTTTAAGTTAAAAATATTGGCTATTATTTTATTTGAGCCAGTGTGAGCCCTGTCAGTGGAGTCCCTTTAAGTCTCCAGTCACACATAAAACATGAGATAAAAAAAAGAACAGCAGTCAATGTGATTATCATTGACAGCCTCTGCTTCCATGTTTAGTCGACCAAAACATTTTTAGGCTATAAATCCTTTTGAGTAGCAGTGATTTTTTAGGGTAGCAAACATTATTATCCCATTGTTCATATATATCATTATATGTCAATTATTATTTTTTCATTTTAGTTTTTTGATAGCCTACTGACTTTATTTAAGATTTGATAAGATCCTTTTTCACATATAATTTTAAAATCAGTGCCCTTTGAAGTTTGGCAATTATAAACTTGAATATGTAAACTTTAAGTGCTTTTATTGATAATTGTAAATAAAATATTTCTCTTAATATTTGTAGATATGGCCCCTTTCTATGAAGAACTTAGTCATTCTCTGAGCTGGAAGATCGATCAGGCTTTATTGAAGAAAATGCGTGCAGCAAATCACGCGGAGCTGAAGAAACTTGACGAGGCAATAGCAGATGCTGAGAAAAACCTTGGTGAATCAGAAATACGGGAAAATATGCTGAAAAAGGCAGAATACTTATGTAGTATTGGTGATAAGGTAAATATATAGTACATGTATATACATTGTGGATTGTTTTTCTTTGGGTTGATTTGTTCAGAAACTATTCTGGTTGTAATCATCCTAAAGCCTGGAAGACTTTTACCCATGACACTTTTGCATATTGAGTTTAGCAGGCAAATCCATGCTGTCTAATCATGATCTGTACTGTTGGCAATTCAGTTGATTTAATTTATGAAACTCCTGGCTTTGCCCAAATTAAAAGATGGATAAGTTTATTTAAGATATTAAGCAAGATAAATTGAGTGGTTATGTTTGAGAACACAGAAGTAGGAAGCTAACAAGTAGCCTATAGGAGGTTGCCAATTACTACTTTGGTGTTCAGTTAATAGTTAACAACTATTACCTTAACAATGATGATGTACATTTTGATCTTATTAAATACATGGTTTGAGGAATTTATGTACATGTATCATTTTCAGGTTTCTATGAAAAACATTTAGATGTCAGAAAATATAAGATTGCTCTTTTTCAAATAATTTAGATATGTGAGTTTTAGAAATAGCTTTATTGTTTTCATGACCAAGTTCTGATATTTTTTCTTTTTTTTTCAAGTGAAATTCTGTTACTTCACTTTGATATTTATTGTATTTTCAGGAGGAATGCCTTTCTCAGTTCAGGAAGACACAAGAGAAGACTGTATCTCTAGGATATAGGTTAGATCTTGTGTTTCACTTGATCAGAATTGGCTTGTTCTATATGGACCATGATCTCATAAACAGAAACCTTGAAAAAGCACAGAGGTATGTATTATAATTTGACAATGAACACTTTTCAGGGCCGGCGAAATCTGATTTTGACTTATTTGTCTGTTTTTATCTGAAGCATTTCTTAACTTGTCCGTATGATTTTTATATAATAAATTCTTGAAAATTTCCACTTGGCTGAACCGTTTGTCGGCCAACCTGGGAAATACAGACAATTGACTTTGCCACGCCTGCTTTAACCTTTTCCCTTATATAAGGGTGTTTCGACGGCTTTTTGCCCCCCCCCCCCCCTTTTGAGGCCTCAAAACAGTGAAAAAATGTCCTATTTAGACACCAAACACTGTTTTTCGATGTGCCCCCTTCTGTTTGCGGGGTTTGAAGGGGGGCGGAGTCCCCCTCATCGCCAAGAAAATTTTGGACTTGTGAGAGGCTTAAAATGACCCCAGGTTGATCATAAAGTAACGTGTAACCAACGCTGAAAAGCCTTTGACTCTATCTCAATCCATTGAGAAGTTGCAGCACTTTGAAATAAATTTTGATGGAAAAAATCGAGGCAAAATAGTGATTTTTGGCAATTTTGAGATGTCCCCTCGTTGCCATGGTAACAGGAAATTTAAGACTGAGCATGTCGTTACAAAGGCAATGGTCCAGTCAACATTTGTGCCAAGTTTGATTAGTATTGAAGCATTTTTCATAGTTTCATAGCAGTTTGAACTTGTAAGAGGAGGCTTTTCAGTTAAAATGGCCATTTTTCACAATATGCTCATGGGGGAAAGGGTTAATAGATGCAAAGGTTTGTTTAATATTTTTAATCTGGCACAGATGTAAAAGATTATGAATAGTGGTTACTGTATGTTAAACTATTGTTTTATTTCCCTAAAATTTAAGAGGAGGGCCCTTTCCCTAACTGTTAAAAAAACCTTGTAACCTGTCTTTTTTTAGGGAAAATGCTACAAGTTAAATGTGTCTTATTAAAATGTAGAATTTGTCAGCATTTTCATAAGAATATCAATGTAACAGCCTGTCGATGAAGTAAACATATGTTTTCAATCATTGCAAGAGAAGAGTTTAATTAACCATTGCCTATTTACAAGACTTTATATAAGATTTTTCTTTTTTGACAGTTTCATTATCATAAGATTTAAGTTGTGTCCCATGAGATATGTCAGGGAAGCTGCCTTATAACCTTCAAAATGACAATTGGTATAAATGACATACCAAAGAAAACTAATTCTAGAAAGTAAAATATGACTCATATAATATTCAGGATTTTGTAGTTTGAAGATTTGCTGGTTTATATTTTCAGTTTAATAGATGAAGGAGGTGATTGGGATAGAAGAAACAGGTTAAAAGTTTATCGTGGTGTCTACTGTATGTCTATACGAAAGTTTAAAGAGGCGGCAAGTCTTTTCCTCGATACTGTTGCCACATTCACATCATATGAATTAATGGATTATCACTCATTTGTAACATATACCGTACTCAGCAGCATCATTGAATTGGAGCGGCCAACTCTAAGAGAAAAGGTTTGTATGATTTTATTTACATATTCTTATAGAGATTTCAATTTCAATCTTGTTTGTAAATGTAAGGGTTGTCAGGTCACTTTTATTGTGATTGATCATAAAATTCTTTCTAAGATCATTCACACTCTGCTCTAGTATGTACTGAAATTATCAGTTCCTTGCGAAAGTTTAGGCAACTAGTATTGGTAAACTGTTAGGCAGCATGCCCCGGAACAATGCAGTGGCTGAACTGTGCTCTGGTAAATTCAGTTTGGCTTACTGCTGTGATCCGGAGTGAAAACTTCCAACACCACCACAGTTATGTCTTAGATAAAGGTAAAAAAGCAAGTTTAAGTACTAAAAAAGAGTACCGGTAGGTTTAATTAAAATACGTAGAAAAATTGCAATTTTCTGTACATCATGAAAATGTAATACATGTATGTTGAATTTTAATGCATAATACTTTAAATATTGTAGGTTATAAAGGGATCAGAAATCTTGGAAGTGCTACATAGTTTACCAAAAGTCAGAAAATATTTGTTCTCATTATATGATACACATTATGGCGATTTCTTCAGATCATTGGGTAAGATTGTCACCGGTTATTTCTTAAATATGCTTCATTACACTGTCTGTTTAAAGATTTGTTGTTAAGAATATATGTTTGAATATAAAGTTGCCAACTGTATGCTGTAAGAAATTATTTAATATCACTCTGTGTTTTAATGTTTAAAACAATTACTTTATCACATACTCATGCGGCTTTTGCGGCTCCATAAAAATGGTATTGCACAGCCAAGCATATATTTTGACATGAAGTCATTTGCGTTATATAATCATAGCGTCACGACGCACTAAATATTAGCATTATACTATAGGCATGTCAATGAAAAATGGTTCACTTCAAACAGTCCTTATTTTTGATATTGATAAATAGATTATTAAATTTGTGTAAGTTCATCAGAGAATTTATTAAACGAGTTGAATAAAGTAATATTATGCTCCCCAGAGAAATAATATAATTTTATTCAACTTGTTCAATAAATTCAGTATTAAACTTACTCATTCAATATCCTCTATATTAAACTGTTCTCTAGCTGTGGTGTATGAAAGATGACTTACAGTTCATTATTTTTGACTTTCTTGAACTTAACTGTTTGTGTTGTCATGTTAAGATGATAAACTTGTGTTTATTAAAAATGTAATGGTACAATTTGCATGTTGTTGTAGTGCTTTTGAAGATTAAAATGAAATGTTCTATAAGAACATCCAAACTCTGACATTTAGTGGCTAATGCTTGTAAACTTATATTTTAGTATGCTTATTTTCATTTGACATACCAGTATAAATGCACGAAACATAAGTTTAATTTGTTTTTGAGATAGCAGTAACATTGCTAGCGAAACATGAATATGTAGCCCTTATTATGCTGAATTTCTTAAATGGACTTTTTAAGCTCCCAATATGGAACTGTCAATTTACAAATTTGATATGAGGGTATAAAAATGAAAATTTGAAGTTGGTAAGCCAGTACTATAGAGCCTAGTCAGATTGCAATGAAATGCAGACTGGTTTAGCTCTATACTATAGTTATTTATATTATAGCTATTTATTAGTCCCCTACCGGTTTACCGGAGGGGACTTAAGGTTTATTCTAACACTCACGTGATTTTGTCACTATAGACAAAGAAGGAAAAAAACTGGTGTTAAACTGACAATAAACACCGGTTAAGGACTACTTGTATATGCGCTGTTATGTTTTCACCCTCGATTGTATAGTTTACAAAGCATTTTAAAGCAACAATAAAAAGCATTTTTATGCCCCCGCCATGTAATGGCCGGGGCATATAGTGTTACCCTGTTCCGTCATTCCGTCCTTCCGTCCTTCCGTCCTTCCGTCCTTCCATCCTTCCGTCCTTCCGTCATTCTGTCATTCCGTCATCATCAGTTTCCGTTCATTATCTTAAGAACGGTTGCACACATTCAACTCAAATTTGACATATGGATATGTGATGAGAAAATACAGGTCAAGTTCGAATTTGGTCATGGTTCGATGATTTTTGGCAGAGTTATGCCCCTTTTACTTTGAAAATAATATGAAATTTCAGTTTCCGTTCATTATCTCCCCAACGGTACAACACATTCAACTCAAACTTGACATATGGATATGTCATGAGAAAATACAGGTCAAGTTCGAATTTGGTCATGGTTCGATGATTTTTGGCAGAGTTATGGCCCTTTTACTTTGAAAATAATATAAAATTTTCAGTTTCCGTTCATTATCTCCCCAACCGTACAATACATTCAACTCAAACTTGACATATGGATATGTCATGAGAAAATACAGGTCAAGTTCGAATTTGGTCATGGTTCGATGATTTTTGGCAGAGTTATGCCCCTTTTACTTTGAAAATAATATGAAATTTTCAGTTTCCATTCATTATCTCCCCAAAGGTACAACACATTCAACTCAAACTTGACATATGGATACGTCAAAGGAAATGCGCAGGTTAAGTTCGAATTTAGTCATGGTTCAATGATTTTTGGCAGAGTTATGCCCCTTTCACTTTGAAAATAATATGAAATTTTCAGTTTCCGTTCATTATCTCCCAATGGTACAACACATTCAACTCAAATTTGACATATGGATATGTTTTTGGAATGCCCAGGCCAAGTTTGAGTTTGGTCATGGTTCAATGGTTTTTGGCAGAGTAATGCCCCTTTCACTTTGAAAATAATATGAAATTTACAGTTTCTGTTCATTACCTACCCAACAGTGTTACATATTCAACTTAAATTTGACATATGGATATGTCAAAGGAATGGGCAGGTCAAGTTGGAATATGGTCATGGTTTGATGATTTTTTGGCAGAGTTATGTCCCTTTCACTTTGAAAATAATATAGATACATCTTAGGAATAAGCAGTTTAAGTTTGAATTTGGTTGTAGTTCAATGATTTAAGACAAACTTATCTTTCCTGAATGTTGGAAAAATTTTGAACTTTCAGTTTCAGCACTCTTACTTTTAGCCATTATTTTGGCCACAAATATGCAATATGCTATTTTTAAAAGGTTTAGACTGAATAGTTTCAATGCCTTGAACATTTTATGAAAATGGTTTGTGTTAACATTGAAAAGTTTTAAGGGCTTTAAACTTAAAATGAAAAAAATAATTAATGCACCATCTGAAATTTTGGCTGCATGCGGGGGCATCCGTGGCATGATGACACATTTCTAGTTATTTACATTTTCAGTTCTTATAATGTTTTCTTTTCATACAATACCGAAATAATATCTCACATACACTAACGCCTCATATAAGATCCATATCAGTTAATAAATACTTTGACAAAACGGCGCCAATCCGTAAGCAGCGTAAATGACGTCATCCTAAGTAAACAACTCATTCATAAACAAGCTGACGTTATTTCATACATACAAGAATGATAAATGGGGCACTGATGTAAACACGAAACGACGTAAGTTTTTATTGTTGAAATTGTTGAAAACTTGATAAAATAACGTTTTTTTTCCTTATTATTTCTTTTGTTTGATAATTTCTATATCTTCGCAACAGTACAGTAGGGTGCGAACATCGAACAGCGTTATACGAAAATCGGCACCGGAAGTTATTTCCGCTTGTAAAATAAGTTTAGTGATTTTCCTTATTTTATCGTGTTAGAATCGAAATAACATCGGCCTGAGAGGTGTATATCGGCTATTTAACACCGGTTTTGTCGTTTTGATGCCTACGGCCTTCGTGGTCAATTCCTACGCATCAAAACTCCAAACCGGTGTTAAATAGCCGATATACACCTCTCAGGCCGATGTTATTTCTTAATCCTCCGTCCGTCTGTCTGTCCGTCCGTCTGTCTGTCTGTCCGTCAGTCCGTCCGTCCACAAAACTGGATCCCGCGATAACGCAAAAAGTACTGAAAATATTTTAATGAAACTTGATATATGGATAGATGGCAGTATGGAGATTATGCATGTCTTTTCTTTTTCTTCCTATGTTGAAAGTTCTGGTTGCTATGGCAACAAATAGACTAAAAATATGGCAAATTTTACACATAACCTGGATCCCGCGATAATGCAAAAAGTACTGAAAATATTTTTATGAAACTTGATATATGGATAGATGGCATTATGGAGATTATGCACGTCTTTTTCTTTTTTTCATATACTGAAAATTGTGGTTGCTATGGCAACAAATAGACTGAAAATATGGCAAATTTTACACATAACCTGGATCCATTGATAACACAAAAAGTATTGAAAATATTTTTATGAAACTTGACATATGGGTAGATGGCAGTATGGAAATTATGAACATCCTTTTCTTATCTTCCTATGTTGGAAATTCTGGTTGCTATGGCAACAAATAGACTGAATTTCAAGATTTCTGATTCTAGTTTTTAAGTTTTTTCACTATAAGTTCTTTATTTCTTAAGGTATTTTCTTCAAACTTTAAATATAAGTTGCTAGTCATCAACTACATCATATGTGACAAGGTTTACAACTCTAGGACAAAATTTATCAGAATTACCTCCCTTGAACTTAAAATTTTCATGAAAAAATATTGTTTTTTTTTAATAACTTCTTTTTTTCTGAATGTATCTACTTCAATCTTCATATAAATGTTTCTTATTATCACTCAACTTTTGTGAGAAAGTTCAATACTCTAGCAAGACTATTTCCAGAATTATGCCCCTTTTGAACTTGAACTTTGAGAAATTGGTAATTTTTACTCCAACTTCTTCAATCATGATAGGATTTTCTTCAAACTCCCACATCATAATAATAATTATGACAAGGTTTATAAATCTAGCATCCATATTTCCAGAATAATCTCCTCCTTAAACTTTTAATTTTTCCTATTCGTTCTTTTAACTTTCATTTACTTCAAATTCAAAATAAACATTCATTATTCATACCTTCATTACTAATTGTTCTTTGTTACACTCACATCATGTATGACATCTTGCATCTTTATTTCAAGAGTTATCTCCTTTTTAAAAATTTTGCTTTTCAAAATGTTATATTTTGATAACAGGGATGTTAAAAAAATAACTTTGAGTGTCCTTCAGTCCGTCTGTCTGTCTGTACATAAAAACTGTTTCCTGTGATCACTTTTAAAGAACTTTTTCAACAAATTTACTCAAAATAGAAACATAAGTGAATGGCCAATGGCCCTTCAGAATGTTGCTGGGGTTCTAACCGGTAGGGGATTTATGGATTGCTTGCAATACTATGATAATTGCTTGTTTATCATATTGATATTGTATTTTCAGCTGAGGTTGAAGATTTGATGAAGTATGACAGATATTTGAACCCTCACTACAGATACTATGTTCGTGAAATGAGAATAGTGGCATATAACCAGTTATTGGAATCATATAGAAGTCTTACACTGGAATATATGGCTGATGCATTCGGTGTTACAATACAGTTTGTTGATCAGTAAGGAGAATTTATTATTTTATTATATGCATATTGAGCCTAATTCCTGTTAGATTTTGTGGTCTGAGGCCTGTATTATATCATAAATCTCATGAAAGTCTCTTTTTATGTTGTTTTAAGCTGGTCTGTATCAAGTATATACGGGGCTATTCTTAGATCTACTTTATTCTGCAGATTTCTTTTAATAGTTAAATGGGTTCTGAAATTTAATTTGGGTATTAAAGAAAACAAAACAAAGACATACATGTATACATTTAAATATAGTTGGTGTATCAGTCATCAAATTCATCTTCTTCTGGATTGATAATCTGTCCATTAAATTTTGTGTTTGATATGCGTTTTCATGTATTTTACAGTTCAACTGGAATTCTATATAACCCACTCACTTCGATAAACTGTTAAAAATTTTAGTTTTGTTGGATAAAACAGTGGGTGGATAAATTACTACATATAAGGAGAATCAATAGCTTCTTTGATGTACAAGGTGTAAATCACCATTACATGTGACTTTAGTTTTAAAAGTCTCATTTAAAAGACATGGCTGATAATTTGAGTTAGAAAAGTAGGAGATTAAACCAAAAACCCATGAATTCTTAATAACTCATAAGTCATTGTATCGATGTAACACATGTATATATTATTACAGAGAGTTGTCACGATTCATTGCTGCTGGTAGATTACATGCCAAGATAGACAAAGTTGGTGGTATAGTAGAAACAAACAGACCAGACAGTAAAAACTGGCAATATCAGGTATGTTTTACCTCTCACAGTATTCACTTCTCATATTGCATGCTTTCATGATGTTTTCAAATACAGTACAACCTCTTCTGAATTACCCCATGTAAAGCAATAACCTTTACAGCAAAAGTATCACTGCTTCCCAAAGTATTACTTCACAATACATTAAACTCCTCTAGTCCAACATGTCTCAACAACAACAACCAAAGTCTTTGTTTTCTAAAGGGGGTTGCTCTGCAGATGATATACTATATTCTTAGAGTTCAGGGGCAGATCAGATCAAATAAATGTTTTTGATACACTTAAAGATAATTTCTTCAATATGATTTGATAATAATTTCTTCATTATGATCTGGTAGCTGGGTACAATAATCCCCTGCAGCATGTTGCAGGCATCGTTGTTATTTACATAACATCTTAAACAACCTTATCTTAATGGTAACAACCCAAGTATCAAGAATTTATAAATAACCTAGTTTCATTCAAGCGCAATATTCAACCACTATATCTTGAAATTGTCAAAATCACATTCAATTAAGTTGGTTTCCATCATATAAGAATAAAGTTCAATAAACATTGATTAACCTTCAAGAATATGAAATCTAGGCTGTGATTGGTTGATTGAGACATCACAAAAACGCACTTTTGTTTAAGAGCTGATTTTAATTCTTAATTTTAAACATTAATGTTTGTATTTTTCAGGAAACAATAAAGAAAGGTGATATTCTATTGAACAGAGTTCAGAAGTTGAGCCGAGTCATCAATATTTGAGTTGTTACATTACTCACACAGACTTTATCATCTTGTAATTGTATCTTTGTTTATTTCTGGAAAATTCATTGGACGAAATAGACCATGTTATTTTACGATATTGACTCTTAACATCAAGTCAAAAATGGCAATTGTAATGGTGGTAGATATGAAATATTACACATTGCATTAAAGTGCTTTATCTACGGTATATTTATGATATTTAAAATATTTAAGATTGTGTCATTACACCATATGTTTAATTATAACTGTGAAACAATGAAACATATGTGAAAGAGGGAATAAAAAGATCAAAGACTTACACCTAACTAACTGTGGCATTTTTGATGCATAGTAAGTTTGAGGTACTATGTCATTTGTAAAATTTGAAATTATTTCTGAAGGATTTGTATCATAATTAATGAAAAACAAAATTTAAAATTTGTAACAATACTTGGACATTATTTACTTTTCATTTTTAGTAAACTGTTAAAAACAGGCTTGTTTGTATTTCATTCTTAACCCTTTAGAGAAGTGAACTTGTCTAAGATTAACTGTATAGGTCCTCTTACAGCTGTAGGTTCGAGTTGTGCCAGCATCTTAGGATTCTTCATGTGAGTAAGCTATCCATTTAGCTTATGGAGTGTCAGTGGTTCTACAAAGGTGCAGGTTTGTGCCTGAAATAATGCTAAGAAGGGCACCTGAGGTATTCCTCCACCAGTAAAGTTTGAAAGTCGCCATATGATGGTTATGACCTTTACTGTGTTGGTGGGACGTTAAACCAAACCAAAATGAACCAAACAAAACCCAACTTTATCTGTTGTTGTGATAAATTAATGATAAACTAGAGGATGCTTTTGTAAAAAAAAGCGCATGTCTCCCCCACTGCTGAGAATAACTGTGAATGGAAACAGGAATGGAAATGGAGATAAGATAATGTAAATACCCGGTAGTCACTTCAATGAAGGCTGTCTATGGATGGTTTCTATTGTTAAGGTTGTATGAGAAGATGCTTCCTAAACTGTTTGTTTTTAACCAGGTATTCAATTTTGAAAATCCTTGTTATTCAATCAGCGTATGGCAGGCGGGCGTCAAACGAAATTGCACTTGATGGTCATATCATATATAGTTTCACAAATGAAATTAAATGAAATTGTGTCTGCTCCATAATTCTTCAAACCTTTAAAGGATTTTGATGATACTTGAAACAAACGTTCATATTGTCAGATTTTTTTACACTATTGAAAGACAACTCAAATTACAATGTATGTAAAATCATGATAACTGTAGTGTGTTGGGATGACTCCACTCGTTTTCACAATGAAGCCTCTCTGGTAGATACTTGAAACAAAAATTCACCACATCCATAGTTTGAGGGTTGTAGGTCTAAAGGAACTCTAGTTATCATCCGGAAAGGAGAAATTAACCAACGGTCGCTGTGACCTTGACCTTTGACCTACTGACCATTAAAACAATAGGGATCATTTGATTAATAAGACCAATCATCCTATGAAGTTTGAGGGTTGTAGGTCAAAAGGAACTCTAGTTATCATCCGGAAATGAGAAATTGACCAACGGTCACTGTGAGACCTTGACCTTTGACCTACTGACCCCAAAAACAATAGGGATCATCTGCTCAATAAGACCAATCATCCTATGAAGTTTGAGGTCTGTAGGTCTAAAGGAACTCTAGTTATCATCCGGAAACGAGAAATTGACCAACGGTCACTGTGACCTTGACCTTTGACCTACTGACCCCAAAAACAATAGGGATCATCAGCTCTATAAGACCAATCATCCTATGAAGTTTGAGGGCTGTAGGTCAAAAGGAACTCTAGTTATCATCCGGAAACGAGAAATTGACCAACGGTCACTGTGACCTTGACCTTTGAACTACTGACCCCAAAAACAATAGGGATCATCTGCTCAATAAGACCATTCATCCTATGAAGTTTGAGGTCTGTAGGTCTAAAGGAACTCTAGTTATCATCCGGAAACGAGAAATTGACCAACGGTCAGTGTGACCTTGACCTTTGACCTACTGACCCCAAAAACAATAGGGATCATCAGCTCTATAAGACCAATCATCCTATGAAGTTTGAGGGCTGTAGGTCTAAAGGAACTCTAGTTATCATCCGGAAACGAGAAATTGACCAACGGTCACTGTGACCTTGACCTTTGAACTACTGACCCCAAAAACAATAGGGATCATCTGCTCAATAAGACCATTCATCCTATGAAGTTTGAGAGCTGTAGGTCAAAAGGAACTCTAGTTATCGTCCGGAAACGAAGAATGGACGGACGGACGGACGGACTGACGGACGGACGGACTGACGGACGGACGGACTGACGGACGGACGGACAGAAAAACAATAGGGATCATCTGCTCAATAAGACCAATCATCCTATGAAGTTTGAGGTCTGTAGGTCTAAAGGAACTCTAGTTATCATCCGGAAACGAGAAATTGACCAACGGTCACTGTGACCTTGACCTTTGACCTACTGACCCCAAAAACAATAGGGATCATCAGCTCTATAAGACCAATCATCCTATGAAGTTTGAGGGCTGTAGGTCAAAAGGAACTCTAGTTATCATCCGGAAACGAGAAATTGACCAACGGTCACTGTGACCTTGACCTTTGAACTACTGACCCCAAAAACAATAGGGATCATCTGCTCAATAAGACCATTCATCCTATGAAGTTTGAGGTCTGTAGGTCTAAAGGAACTCTAGTTATCATCCGGAAACGAGAAATTGACCAACGGTCAGTGTGACCTTGACCTTTGACCTACTGACCCAAAAACAATAGGGATCATCAGCTCTATAAGACCAATCATCCTATGAAGTTTGAGGGCTGTAGGTCAAAAGGAACTCTAGTTATCATCCGGAAACGAGAAATTGACCAACGGTCACTGTGACCTTGACCTTTTGAACTACTGACCCAAAAACAATAGGGATCATCTGCTCAATAAGACCATTCATCCTATGAAGTTTGAGAGCTGTAGGTCAAAAAGGAACTCTAGTTATCGTCCGGAAACGAAGAATGGATGGACGGACGGACGGACGGACTGACGGACGGACGGACTGACGGACGGACTGACGGACGGACGGACAGGGCAAAAACAATATGTCTCCCCCCGAGGTGGGGGAGACATAATGAACTGGTGGAGATACCTTCCTTGCCATTTTGTCAACCTTTAATTAAATGAATTTTCTAAATGGACTTGTCCACATTTCATTTTAGAATTGTCCAGTATCATTTTAAGGAATATGTCAAAAGGGGAAAATTTAAAAGTTAGTTTTTCGAAAGGAAAATAAGGGGTCTTCCACCAAAATTTAATTTCCTTTTAAGCTAAAATTTGGGTTTTAAAAAATTGTTGGAAAATAATTGGAATGAACCGGAAAAAAAGACTACCTTAAAAATTTAAATTATAAAAACCAAAAATCTTAATACTATGGGGGTTTTTTGTGATAAAAAAAACCGCTTTTTTCCAAATCGGGGAAAAACACAAATTAATTAAAAGTTAACATTTTACCTCTGGGAGGTTTTTTAGGAATTTGGGAATTTAAAACTTTGAAAAGGGCTTTTTCCCTTTTTAACTCAAAACTTGGTTTTAAATTTTGGCCCCTTGAATTTTTATTGCAGAAACCCCAAAAATTTTAAAGGGCCCCAAAAGTCCCTTTTTGTTTGACCCCCCAAAAAAACACCCAAATTAAAATCAGACCCAAAAACCTTTTGGGACTGGGGAATGAGTATTTTAAAAAAACCTAAAAAATTTTTTGGGGAAAAGCGGGAGGGGGCCGGTCCCAGTTTTGGGGAACGGGACACAGCAAGTAAATCACAATCCTATCGGAGTAAAATTAAACATCAGCTTGCAAGATAAAGTATCATGTTCAGACTATACATTGTTATAGTCTTTAGTTGACTTCATATTTAAGGGTTGTTAGTGGAAGCCTAATGATTATGGTATCTGACCTAGAGATATTGGATAACATGAATCTTACAGGAGTCACGGCCATATAGTCTAAAATGACATTAGTACAAAATTTAATGTACTAGTTCCACGGAAGCAGGCTTGAACCCTTCTTCACATCCACGCTTAAATAATGTAAACTAAAATCCAATTCCATCATCATGCTTCAATCCCTTATGTGAAAGCTTCGACTTTTCTTCTGTTAAAAAAGAAAATATAACAAACACAATCAGACTATTTATCTAATTTTATTACATAAAATAAGAGCAGAATTTAAATACTCCTAACATGGTATCAACAAAAAAAACAAAAATGCTAAAGATATAATATAGTATAAAATGAAATATTTGCTCAAAGATCTTGATACTGTTATTATCTGGTTGATAATCACATAACTTAACTTTATATAAATAATTCTTGTAAGAAACTTGTCCAAGCCCTTCAATTTTACACATGTATCAAACAGTTCAGTATTTCATTTATGTATGTTACTATTCATAGTCCAGAAATCAAAGGGAAGTAAGCAAAGTATATGTTGGAGTTACTGAACCTGTATTTTGACAGACTATCAAATATCTTTGAATGAAGTTAGAACAAAAGTGAGTATTTAGCCAAACAAAACTATGCTTATATGTAATTTCTTACAAATTACGTAATTCATTACTATTTATATTGATACAAAATGAAAAGCTAAATATAGATACATGTTTCATAAAAATGTCTGGAAACTGTTTTATCACTATCAATAAAACATGACACCTAGTATTTACTTCACCATTTCTGTTATTCTTTTTGTTTTTAGTCACTTATTCTTTTGTTTTAAGTCACTTGTAATAGATTTGACAAGAGTTTAATTTAAATTACTGCAGAAATTCTTTTTCTTGCTACACATAATGCACTTTTCACCACGACTCATTGACCACCGAAATTATGCATTTTGTAACAATAAAAAGAAGCAATCTTTATAAATACTCCACTAAAGAGAAAAGCGTTTACAAAATCTAAAAAATGAGCAAAAAATAATTTTGATTTTCCAAACACCAGTTCATCTAGCACGAATACTGTATAAATAAAATATAATTATATTTCTACTCAACTTCTAAATTACAAAAAGTAAGTGGTTTTAAAAGAAAATTAAAAACAAAACCAAAAAAATAGTTAAATAAAGTAGGGTCACACTGCACTGCACGTGTACTTATGGATAATATCCTAAAATAATGACGATACAGAATTATGCGCATTTGCACATAAATCCTGCTTAATCATTTCTTTTCCATTCCTCTTCAATAAAATATCATCATTTTTTCAATATTTTAAAAACAAAACCTAAATCCTTGCATGGGATAAAATTTATCATATACTGGTATCCCATTTTATTTTTAGAATAAATATAGAATTCTATAATTAAAAAAAAAAGAATATAAAATAATTAACAATACAGTATCACAGTTCAAAGATGTAAACAAAACAAAGATACAAGAGATTACTATCAATATATTTACAAAATTCCTTTCTATTCTACAAATCAAAATGTCAAGTGTGAGACAGAGAAAAAAATGTAAAGTAAGAAAATTTTGCAATTTGTTAACCAATATAATAAAAAAAGGGGATGAAAATCACTAAATGTTTTTTTTATTTCCAAAATTTTAAAAGGTTTTCCCTTTAAACAAAATTTTCAAACAAAATGTGCTGAAAAATTAACAGTTGAATGACCTCTTGTACAATGTTTAAAAATTATTTTTAAACAAAAATTTAAAAATTTAAAAAATTACGAACATTTTGTGACAAAAATCAATGTAAATTCGGGGAAATTTATTTTCTATAATTGTTCCGTAAAAAGGGGTTCACACTTGGGGTGATATTTTTGTCTATACAATGCCCATTAAAGCCTAAAGAAGAAACAAGGGGGGAAAAAAATTTCCAATCACCCTTTTTAAAACATCAAATGAGTCTAACATGAAAGACATTTAATTTATGGACGGAGTATACTACAACATAAAACTATAGCAAAATATCACAAGTAATGACAACATTGCTATCGCAGAAATTATAGAAGATTCCATATTTAGTCCTATAACAAACTATTAAATTTCAATAACCCAAATCGTTGGTATAATTCATTTCTTTATTAAAAGGGCAAATTTACTGAATATAGGTCCAAGAGTTAACTACCAATCCAATTATCTGAAAAGTTCTGACAGAAAGAACGAAAATATTTTCTTTGAGGTGTCAAGTTTTTCAATTTTTCCATTAAATTTAACATACCATAATATATATATAAAGAACAAATAAAACTTATTTTTTCACAATCAAATACAAGATCTGGCATTCATGTCATGTAATCACTCAGTCAAAATTTTACCTACATGTTTCTATGTATGAGGGGAAATAATGGACACCACAGCAATTTAAAGCTTTATGACCAACTAGAATAAACTACGAACAATCACAGCATTCCGGTCTGTTTGACCTTATATCAACAGTTTCTATGACAACAGTGTTTGTTCAACACTTTATTTGTTCCATGTTATATATATTTCTCAATATAACCCCACATTTCTGAACCACACTCTTATAGTAAATACATAAATAAATATGTCCTGACCTATGGGTTTATTCATTAAATCAAGGTAAATTTTTCTCAACATAAAGTTACGGAGAAAAGAGTCAAAATATCAATACAGATATCTATAAAATTAACCAATCAAATCAAGTTAAATTTTCTATATAAATACAAGACTGCAACAGCTATTTATTTAATAAAAACTAAAATCTCTAACTTCTATTCTACCCCATGTCCTTTTCAAATAAATACAAATTATATCACAGAAATTTTGACGAGATTATGAATATATTATAAAATAAAAACTCTTCTTTTTCTACCAGCTATGCCATTAAGTCTATTTCTATGCACAAAACAATAAGTTTCCAATTTTATTCATTTGGTAAACTGTTTTTTTTTTTGGATATCAAAGATTTTTTACATAGAGGATATTGAATGAGTGCAAGTTCAATACTGAATTTATTGCACGAGTTGAATAAAATTATATTATGCGAACCTCTCGCGAGCATAATATTATTTTATTCAACGAGTGCAATAAATTCAGTAATGAACTTACACAAATTAAATATTCTATTTATCACATACCCAAAATAAAGACTTTTTAAAGTGAAATAAGAGTCATTTTTCATTGACGCGCCTATAGTATAACGATAACATTTGGCGCGCGTCTTTACACTATGTTTGTATAACGCTAATACGTCACGTCAAAATATATGCACGGCGTGCCAATACCATTATTTACGGAGTCGCAAAATTGGCACGGGTGTGTGATAAAACTCTTTATTAATCAATGAAAAGTACATATATCTTGTCACTGTAATGTGAACTGTTTAATTTATTTTTACTATCAAAATTACAATTTTTTTTTAATTTAATTTCAGTGAGATAACACTACTTTTTTTAAGTCTACATATTAATGTTTCAATTGAAAACATCTTTTCATTGTTCATCTTTTTTGTGTCATTTCAACATTATGTCAATAAGGTTATCACAATGTTTCGTAGGCGACTTGGACGTTTTTACTGCTAGCTGGTCGCATCAACACTTTATGTGTTTTAGGAGACGGCGTTTGGCGTTCCATGTACGGACTCTTCAGTAAGTAGGCGTATGTTGTTGAATGCGCCGAGTATGGTCGCTGATTTACTGTTAATTTACTCTTCTGTTGCTTTTTGTTTTTTGGACTGGGTTTCCGTTTCATGAAAATTCGCTCAAAAACATCTCCATGCTTGGATTTGGCCGAGATTTGGACGCTGGGGCTTGATGAACGATAATTCCTTGAAGGGCGTCTGTGTGTTTATGATCCTAAGCCACAGTTTCTGTAAGAATATATATAAATTATAAAATAAACAATTTTAATATTTTCAAATCTAAACATTAGTACGGAGTATTTGTAGAAAGAATAAGAACTGTAAGGTGGAAGTCTGAAGAAGACTAATCCTAATTTGGTAGGTCGGACATTGTCAGAAGTAATTTAAAACGTTTATTGTCATGAGGACTTTTAATTTTGTTTGTTTACAATATTTCATTACTTTTGAATACACCTGGTACCTCTGCATCTAATTATATTCCCTAGACATCTAAAAAACATTTTCCTGGTATAATAAAGTATAAAGAATGTCCACAAATACTGATGAAATAATCAAAATTAGGTAATATAAACTCACCAAATAGCCTCATCATCTATGGCTGTATCATTTCTACAGCTGTCACACTTGAATACCGGACAAGGTACGGCTGACACCTCGCTGAATGTGTGTCTCATAAATGCCGAGAATGAACCGTAATCATAGGCGCTGTATCTACCATGCCATGCTATATAACCTACAGGTAAATATACCCAATTAATGCAATGACAAAAATAAAACAAAACTTATACAAATTATGACAGTATTGTCATTCAGAAATCGTTTATGTTCAGTCCCGACATGTAGCCCAAACTTTTACCAATATTTTTAAAAAATTTGGTTTTGAATTTTCCTGAGTAAACCTGTTTTAAATTTTTAAAAAATATTATTTTTTTAAATTTTCTTAAACTTTTTTTCTTTAAACTTTATAGCCCCCCAAACTTTTCTTTACCCTTGTGATGTGATTTAAAAAAATTAAGAGTCATTTTTTTTAATCAAATTTTTCTTGGTTAATAAATTTTAAATTAAAAAGGCCCTTTTTAAAATGAGGCAAACCCAATTTGGTTTCCCGATCTTCCATGTGGGCTAAAGTTAACAATTAATTTATAATAAGAAGAGGGTAGAGTATATATTTTACCTTCTTGATGAATGAACAGGAAGGTTGGTACTCCTGCGATACCCAGCAGCTCGGTCAGATCTACGTTACTCTCCGTCTCTATATCAGCATCACGCTTAATACCTGAAATACAATACATTTGGGGTAAAAGTAAACATCTCTAGGTCCAAAGATTAAATTAAACTGTTAAACTGAAATCTTTGATAATGGAAAATTAATCAAAAATTAAATAAACCCTTTTTATTTTTACTATTCCCATCATTATCAGAATTAAAGAACATAACGAGGAGGAAATGTCCATAGGATTACATGGATGTCTCTACATTCCACTTTTTTGTCAGTCTATACATGGACAGTGTGAATTTAGGATGAACGGACAAGACGCCTAAGTAGCAGGGGCATAAAAACTGTTGAAAATTAATATTTTGCATCCATTTTAAATAGAAGCTTTTAAGACCACTTGCACAATTATGTCCCAAAATTTGCTATCAATGAAATAAACCATACTAAAGTATTTAACATTACCAAAATGTTTAAGAATTTTTTCAATCTTTGACAAACACATTTTAAATTTGGTTCCATGAATAAACAAGGAACATCGCAATGCGATGCAACCAGGTTTTCAGCAAAATATTTCACAGAAGCTTTGTCATGAAGGGGCATTTGTTTTTAATTGAACTTTTAGGAGGAATTATGGCTTTTTTAATATTCCTCAAACAAAATGATTGAGAAATTTTATGTTGTCTATTCGCCTTTTTTCCCAAATATTTTAGAAAGGTAAACAGTACTTTATTTTTGCTTAATTTTTGCATTTTTGCGTCTCTTGTCATTTTCTTTTGTCAACAATATTGGCGTGTGGTGTTTTGTGCGATATCAAGAAAAAAGTATGTTCACAATTTTTAAAAAAAATACTTGAATAATGTCTTGGAAGAAACATGGGAATTTAGTGAGCGCCAAAAGCTTCTGTGAAAGTTTGGTCAAAATCCATTGAGAAAATGTAGGAGAAGTTGCGCACACTGTAGAAATTTTTCACTATATATTCTGTATAAGGAAAAAATATACAAAGGGCCATAATTCGGTCAAATATTATCCAATCACAAAACCCCGACAATATGTGCCAGGCACTTGATAACAAAGCTTCTAAGAAAGTTTTGGTCAAAAATCCGTTGAGAAATGTAGGAGGAGTTGAGCACAGAAGAAATTGTTCTCTATATACAATGTATTCTGTATAAGGAAAAAATATACAAAGGGCCATAATTCGGTCAAAATTATAAATCCAATCACAAAACCCCCGACAATATGTGCCAGGCACTTGAATAACAAAGCTTCTAAGAAAGTTTGGTCAAAATCGTTGAGAATGTAGGAGTTGCGCACAGAAGAAATTGTTAACTATATATTCTATATAAGGAAAAAAAACAAAGGGCCATATTAAGGAAAAAAAAAACAAAGGGCCATAATTAGGTCAAATATATACCAATTGCAAAAACCCTGGCAATATGTGACAGGGCACTTGATGACAAAAGCTTCTGAGAAAGTTTGGTCAAAATCCGTTGAGAAATGTAGGAGGAGTTGCGCACCAGAAAGAAATTGTTCACTATATATTTTATATAAGGAAAAAAAACAAAGGGCCATAATTAGGTCAAATATTATCTAATCGCAAAACCCCGACAATATGCGCCAGGGCACTTGATGAAAAAGCTTCTGTGAAAGTTTGGTCAAAATCCGTTGAGAAATGTAGGAGGAGTTGCGCACAGAAGAGAAATTGTTTACGCCCGCCCGCCCGCCGACATACCTCAATCTAATAACCAGTTTTTTCCTTCGGAAAACCTGGTTAAAAATGAAAATGCTCAAAAAAATATTAAAATAATGAAATGTACTCTTTGTATATTAGATTATTTTTCATAAATTGGTAGTAATTAGTAAACACTTGTATAATTGTGTACCTCCGGTTGTGTTTTTCCAGATATGGTTTGTAGCCTCATATATAGACGAAGCACACTGACTGGTAGCGTGCCATATAGAACCATCTTCTCTCCATCCATTAGCTGTTATCATATGTATAAGATCTTTCCTCTCACTCAATGAGCTCCCGCTAGTGTTACATGATACAGCAATAAAGTTGTACTCTTTGGTTGTTTCACGTGCAAACCGTGAAAAGTAGGTCATCACTTTCTGCGATGGTAGACACCTAGAAGAAACATTGAAATATTTAATTTGTGAATCACCATACATGGTCTGATACTTAACGACATAACATTACTTAGTAAAATGCTTTCATGTTTTATAATTTCAATACTTGTGTAACCTTGGTAATGCCATAGGACTGAATTAAATCTTACTTCATCAGCCATACAAGGCTAGAAATCACATAATAAATTTATAGACCTATAAAAATCTTAAATACCAATTTGTAATGTTTATTTATAATTCAGAAAAATATGCAAGTGTTTAACTATAAGAATGCTAGCATAATAATGGCTTGTCTTAAAGGCTATGAAATTATAGTTTATAAATCAAAATCCATCAATATATACCAGTGGACAGGTATGAATTCAAACCAGAACAAGCTTACTAAACAAATTTAGTGAACAAAGGGTTAATGTCTGAAATCTTATGTTTAAGAAATATCCATTTTGGAATAAAAAATATCAGATTGCATTAAGAAGAAGAAGACAAAAATCAACCAAGCACCAAATATTTACCATGGTGTCCAGAACAATATTGCTGTTGGATATTGTCTAGTGTGTCCCTGTAACAGTGGTTTGTACTCTCCCTCAAAGATGTCCAGGAGACTGCACGACGGGGGCGGAACATGTTTCTTCAAAAGACCCTGATTGGCCAGTTTCTTAGCAAGTTGACGTTCGTAGCCGATGGAGTCCTGGTACTTGCAACATCCATGATCAGGCCAACTGTAATATATTATACCGGTAAAATGATGTTATAACATTCAAACTGCATGCCTCCAGCCAAAATATTCCATGCAAATAAAACTTGAGAAAAATGTCTTAAGATTTTAAGAAAAGTAAAAAGACTCAAGTCAATGATTTACATGTTATGTGCAATTTATTACTGATTTTACATTAATTATCACCATATATCTACTGCCTGACACACTAAATGAGCACTATTTTGTTGGGTTTTTTTATCTCTGGATTGTAATGTGTAAATTTGTTCACTTCACTATAATCATTAGATACATTTTCAAAATTTTTATGAAAATTAGCATGAATCTGGAGACATATTGCTAACCTGTATTATGAGCATATTGCTAACCTGTATTTCTGTGTTACGGAAAAATGTAATTCTCTTTAAAACTTTCAGATTGTTTCACAAATAAACATTACTCACCATTTTCCCTTGCTGTGTACACTATGATAACAATAGAAGGAGAAAGGTCTAAATGCTTCAGATATCAAATCAATGCTGTTTGACTCCTCGCTTGCAGCCGCTGGCTTGTCGGTTAATGACACCATTGTTAGTTTGTACATTGGCTGTTCTGTGCCAAGCTGAAATTTGTAAATAATGTCAGAATTTCAATAAAATTTGTAACCACGTTTGTTATATTTCAGATAAAAAGTTTTTAGTGTCATAGTGTTTAACCCTTGTTAATGGGCTTGTCTATACAAAAAGAATTCATGATTTTAGGGAAATTTTCAAAAACATGTACTTATGTGAACAGTGCAGACCATAATTAGACAGCATGGCTGTGTCGGCTGATCTTGGTCTGCACAAATCGCATGGTTAGCAAGCTCAGGGTTAATAATGTACTTATTTGACCTTTGGAGATTTTACTCAATTAAAAGTGTTGAACCACAAGAGTGGGGTTTGTTTATATCAAACACACATCATGAGCAAAATTCTCATAATAATAACTACAGTTAGGATTTTTTCTAAAAGCTGTCTACAGCAGAGTGGTCTAATAAGTGAGTTTGAGACTTTCTTTTTAACTTAATACAACAATAAAGAGATATCACATTTTACTTTAGATGGAACAAAAAACAAATTAAAGGAATATATAATAGTTATACACTGAATACATTTTAACATTCAAAAGATCTCTTAATAACATCACTTCAAACATATACATGTACAATATTAGTACTGGATTACTTACCTTTATTCTGACAGTTTTCACACCTTCAAAGCATGGGAAATTTTCCCAAAATTGTTTGCCATTTTATAAGCCCCCGTTGTACCCCGTCCCCTTCAATTCCTTAGACTGGGGGCACTTTCCAGCTAACATGAGTAAAACTTCCCCGAAAACACAAAACCCGTTTAAATGAAATTTATGAAAAACATCTATCTATCTCCCAATAATGTCCAACCCCTCATAGGAAAATGAACATCATAATAGGGAAAACTCTTTAAAACAACACATTTCTTTAAGATTAAAAGGTCTAAGAGACTTATGTTTGGATAATGTACAAATAAACATAATAGAAAATTGTTAAAACTTGTTCAATTTAGATTTTATGCTTTCACTATTAATGCAATTTTCAAAAGATTCCCTAAAAATGATGAATGGTTTTAAGTCAATACTGAAAGACAGACAAGTCTATTTATGATATTTAGCATGGTCAGGGTTAATACATTCATGACTTGTACTTACCAGTAAAGTTCTCCAGAGCAGAGAAACAATCTTCTAGCACTTCCTCCACCCGGGTTAACGTGTGAGCCGCTTCAATGACATCACGGTCTTTCTCAGCACGCATTGGGTGAGTCAAAGCTCCAATCTCCTTCAACTTGTGACCAACTTGACGAATCAATCTATAAATAATGATGAACGTATATTGTCGTTATTCAAACATATAATATGTCACTGATTTATAGACACTATCATCAATATACTCTCAAGTCGAAGATAATTATTCAAAACAAATTTTTGGGGAAAGAAAAATCTTGTATATCAAAAATTAATACACATACAGCTGAATGTAAAAAGGTCAGCAACTAAATGCTTACAAAATTTTTATTTGCATATACCGTAAGCTGGTCATCATAAGTTTAGAATCCGATCCACAAGATTTTTTACAGATGCATTTTCATGTTCGTGTTAATAATTTCAAATGTTTGTAAGACATACCTATCTCTTTTGTTGACTAGATCACATGTTATCTTCTCTATCTGTCTACGTTCATCAAACCCTACAACAGTAGCTGCGATCTTTGGTGCATCCGGTGCTGGAGCCGGTTGTAACCGGATATAGTCTGAACATACCACCTCACTTGTTCCATATAACTGAAATTTATATAGCGCATTATATGAGATTCAAGGTTGACCAAAGTAAAAATTAAATTGTTTTGTAACAAAAAGAAATTGAAAACTTTTGAAGTTTTAAAAGAAATTGTTTTCTACAATAACTATTCAACAAATTTAACAAATAAATTGACAACAGAAATCCTTCCAATATCACATGTTGTAGATTTCTATGATCTATAATGATGATGGTTCAGATAAACATGTATATACATGTATATTATATATACCTGTCAGGTGAACTTTTATTTAAAAATTGATTCCAAGTTTCATTTGCTCCTTCTATTTATTTCATATAAATTTGATTTTTTTTTTCAAACAATTTTTTTACAATGATTTAACTTACATGCACTTCAACGTAGATATTGTAGCTGCCCTTTTTGATATGTTTGAACTCGGCCTCCCTGGTGTCCGGGTGTACTGGTCCAATGCTCGATACCATCTTTTCTGTATCCTCCTCAACACAACAAACCTGATAACAAGATAAAATATATAAGCTGTATATCTCTCTGAGTGTTAGCAGACACCAGGCCAACAAAAGGTCAGTCTGGACATTATGTTGTGCATCCTGACACAACAGTCTTAATATTGTTAGCTACACAATTTAATATTAGAATTCTTTAAACTACTCATAGACAGTTTCTTTAGTTTAATTCTGTATCTTTAATGAAGAACCTTTGATAATGTTGGTATAACTTTTGATCTAACCCTTTGGTATGTACATTGAATTTATGCTTAAAATAAAGATGCTAAATTGTGTTAATTTATCATGTACAAAATATACAATAAAATATTATTAAACTATAGATAGTTTCAAATTCAAAGCGTGGCAAGTTCATTGTAAATTAAGCATAAATAGATCATTATTATCATTCAAAAAATTTAAACTTTCATTTTGTAACATATTACACAGTTTCTATACAGAATTTATTAATAAACTCTTGATCAGAACAGAATAGGATGGTTATTTAGTTGTATGTATAGTATAGCATATAAATCCAAAATTTAAAAAAATCTTTACGGCTGTCGAGGGATTAAAAACAATTCCATCTGAAACAATAAAATTTTCAGAAAAAGAGGAAAGAAACACAGAACGACCACCTACCCTGAAATGTTTGACCTTCACACCGTCTGTCACATACGGATCCTCCCAACCCACTCTCAGGTTTGAGCTTGTATGAGTTGGCAGTCTATGTACACTTGGTGCCTTGGTTCCCGGCCACTCCACAACGAGAGGTTCCGAAGGTTTGCTGTTCATCTTCTCAAATGCTGTTAAAGCCTATAGGTAATAAAATATATAATATTATCAATGAATTACATTAATACAATGCTACAAAGATATATTATCAATGAATTACATTAATACAATGTTACAAAGATATATTATCAATGAATTACATTAATACAATGTTACAAAGATATATTATCAATGAATTACATTAATACAATGTTACAAAGATATATTATCAATGAATTACATTAATACAATGTTACAAAGATATATTATCAATGAATTACATTAATACAATGTTACAAAGATATATTATCAATGAATTACATCAATACAATGTTACAAAGATATATTATCAATGAATTACATTAATACAATGTTACAAAGATATATTATCAATGAATTACATTAATACAATGTTACAAAGATATATTATCAACGAATTACATTAATACAATGTTACAAAGATATATTATCAACGAATTACATTAATACAATGTTACAAAGATAAAGTAATGAGAAGGAAAGCTGGCTTCAGGGATTGATAAGGAGAATATGTATGTCATAATTAAATAAAACCTTGCATAGAGTGTATATTGGTGACTTGTTGATTAAATCTATTCAGTTCTACTGTTACATGCGCTTTAAATGAATCAATCAATTCTTAGAAACTTTTTTTAGCAAAATTGGTGATTCTTCTGTTGGATTTTAATTAACTTTGACACTGTAATGGGAACTCATATGGGAACTTTCCAGCCATTCTGGTCAAGAGTACGACCTCAGCTGCTCCTTTTTGTTGAATTTTCAACAAAATTTGCAAGGACTAGTGAACTACATTTAGGTACAGTCAATTTTTTTTCTATCAACACTATAAACATTTAAATATCCATGTATTTTCTATATATTTTGTGTCGAATTATTATATAATTATCATTGTTTATCTAAAATTTTTTGTTTGGTACCGCTGTGGTCTGAGATTCGTACCTGAACTTGGAAGGAATACTCCTGGCACCACTTGCCGTGTGTGTATGTATAGCTAAGCTGGTCTGCATTCAAGATAGACTCGACTATACCGTTAACATACACCTTGTACCCAGTGATTAAAGCATCACCGTACGTATTTGGTTTATCCCATTGGATAGCAATGTACCGGAAATTACACGCCCTGAAAAATGTAAACAGATGTATTGATTAAAATCCTAGACCTGTTGAAGTGAATAATGATCATACCACAAACTAGATGACACTTAAAACTTACAAGGAAATAGAGCAGTCGATTTCATCTCTTGTCGTGGAAATTTAATTTCCTTTATGTCATGCTATAAAAATAAAAACAATATTTTCTACTTTCATCAGGAAATGTTGGGTGTTTTATTACAGAAGCAAAGTCTATATATTGATCTCAAAATTGAAATTCTGGAACATTACATAATTCAAAATCAATACTGTATAACGGTAGATATCAAGTTGTAGCAACATTTCACTAAGGATAGACAGGGAGAAAAATATTGTTTTACCACTGGGAAACTTATATAATGAGTATTTGTTATGTTTGTTCTTATGACAGATTTTACGTAAGGAATAATATTTGATCTTTGTTCAGAAATGTTCTTATATACAGGTTTTATTGTACAGAACAATATTTGGTATATGTTCAGACTTGCTCTTATGTACAAGTTTAACTGTAAGGAATAATTTTTGGTCTATTTGGTTATACTGTAAGGAATTGTGTGTACTGTATTTACCTGACAGTCAAGCAAGGTCCGTCTGGTGGTGCTGATGTCTGTACTGTCATCTGTTTAGACCGTTCCCTAATTTGTCCATCACCATCAAGGGCAAGTAACCTCACAAAATGTGTGGTACCAGGTAGACATTTGTTGATCACACAGTTGGAATCCTTACATGACAATCTAACCTCTCTTTCCTAAAATATATCATAAAATATATCATAAAATATATCATAAAACATAATTATCATGAAATATATCATAAAATATATCATAAAATGTTCATGAACATTTCACTAAAATGCCATGTTGAAACAACTGTATAATAACATCATTTGGCACAAATAGAACATAAATAAGTAACAAGGCACAACAGTTATAAATGTAAGGAAATACAAAGAAGTTATAACAGAGAGCTGTCCATCTCCAGTAACATTTAACTTCACTTAATAGTTTACTTAGTTGTAAATGAGAATACAAACATTTGTTGTGGAGACACAGTTATGAAAGAACTATCTTTAGAAACTGTATGTGCTTAAACATAAGCACCTGTCCAGTGAGCAAAATTAACACAGCTTTATATCTGCAGATATAAGAATCGCATGTTTAAGTACTGAACAAGGTGTTACTTGCTGGTTTAGAAATATTCTCACTTAACAAACAAAGAAACAAATAAAGAAACAAACAAAGAAACAAGTAAAGACATACCGCAGGTTGGGCAACACTACTCCATTGAATCTTGTAGCATCCAATGCCCTCTGTCTCCAGGAAGTTGCCCCAGTCTAAATGTATAGACGTCTCACTGACCTTGGTGACCTTCACCGGAATGTCATGGTCATCAGTATAGGTCATCTCATCAAGTGCTTCTCCTTCGCGTGGCGAGTGCAGGGAAGTGTTGATTGAAAGTGTGTTTGATTTACCAGAGTCAGAATATTCTGGGTTAGCACTAAGGGCCACCAAGTTCACCTTGTAATGCCTGAAAACATACATTGTACATGATTATCAGGGACGTAGCCAGGCTTTTGAAATGTTTAGGCACAAAGTGGAGATGAAGGAGATGTAGGAGGGGATGTTACCCTCTAATTGGTGGGAATCAGGGGCTCTCCCCGAGAAAAATTATCTCACTATGGTTTCATCACTGAGAAAATAATTGTAAAAGATGTTAAGTTCTTTATTGTGGCTAAAAAACAGTTCCAGAATAAAATTATAACACTCAAACTTATAAGAGACGACAGTTTACCTGTTAGGTCTACAAGGTATGACAGCTTTCCTATGTGTAGAGCTCAGTTCATTTCCTGCCTTTTTATCATTCAAATACACTTGATAGCCTCTAACCCTGACACCCCCATACAATCTTGGTTCACCCCACTCTATAACAAACTCATCTGGACTGGATGATTTCAAGAAGATTTCAGGCGGGTCAGGTGGTCCTGGTATCATAATCTGGATATTCTGTGGTTGCTGTGGTAACGTGTCTGTAAAGAAGGCCGGTTCTATAACCATGTCATATATACTCCTGAAATGTAACAGTGACTTATTTACAAAAGAGAAGACATATAAAATAAATAACTATCTATTCTAATGCAATAAAAGTAATTTTTAAAAGTTTTTTTTACCTTTATATTAATTTCTTATGCAACTTCAATTTACTGTTCTATTTTTAGTACCTTCTGCTTATATTAAGTTCAAGGTCAAGATTAAATCAGCATTGCCAGAAAAGGAGATAAAAGTTAGGAAAGTCATAGAAATGGAATAATGGACAAACTCTGAAACAACTTACTTTAATCTTGTAACTGGAATCTGACATTTATTAAAGTCCGAGCTGACATATTTTGTTTGGACAACATGGTCATCATGCGAGTACCAGATAATGTTGAACTGTTTCAGTAACGATTTCTCGCCACCTTGTGTCGTCCATTGTAACTGAACATCACCAAATGTCTTGTTGTCACGATCCTCGTTATGGGTGAAAAATGCATCGAGTGAATGGATATAACCTGAAGTGATAAAATATATCTTAAATAAATATAGTGTATCAAAATTACATAAACATTTTATTGTAAAATTGATCTTTTTCATAAATATGACAAAATATTAAAAGAATAGAAAGTCTAATTTGTGCTATTTTACAAACATGCATTTACTAAGATTTTCAAATTTGACCAGAATGGGACATAGAACTGCAATAAATGCTAATTATTACCACATTCATTTTGATACTAATTTCAGAAATAACAAAATACAAATGAATTAGGAACCACTGCAAGCACAAATGAACTTTTCCTGTTTTTAGCAGTGAAAAATTTAGCCCCTCATTTTCTATTATTTGCTACATCAATTGGTCAAAAACAGTACCACAAACAAAACCAAGCATTCTTTTGTGAAAACCAGTTTAACCAGTGATTATGTACATGTATTTTCCCAGAGAAGCAATTGGATAGCCAGCCTTCCAGTTTGCATAAAACTGTAAACACCATAAAAGTCCATTCTCTACAAAATTTTCAAATAAATCAAGCTGACTCACCATCCATGTTCTTTGGCAGTGTAATTTCGAGAGGTTCCGATGGTGAAGCATCCAGGTTATCTTCATCTTCCAGTAATAAACCATAGTCCATGTCCTGAGGGTTTGTGTTCTTATACGCACCTTTGTACTAAAATTAACACAACAATTTTATTCTTTTGTTACTTGTAGAGTAACTATGATCATACAACTTCATTAATAAACTCATTTAAGCCTTTACTTGCTGAATTTCTAAAATGGACTTGCCCAGTTTCTATTTTTGGAACTGTCCATTATAAATTATGGGGATATCAAGATGAAAATTTGAAGTTGGTCAGCCAACAGTATAGAGCCTGGTCAGACTGCATCAACAAGCAGGTTGAACGGGGCTCTATACTGGTAGTTAAGGCTTATCACTTTTGGTTCCAGAAGGTTAAAGGTTAACAAGGCTTGAATATTATTTTGAACTTGTTTAATAAATTCAGCATGAAACTTATCCTCTAAATATTAGAATTACCATATCGGCAATATATTTAAGTTTTACAATAATCCTCTATACATGTACCACTGTATATTAGTATTTATAATTCAATTTTATTAGTATTCCATACATGACTCATAGATTACAGAAAGAGAAACTTGAAAAAGTAGAATCATAAAAAAGTTCTTGTCATTTTAACTTGAGAGACAATACTTTTATGTATTGACAAAGTGTAACTCAGATACTGTTTTTCTTTCCAAGGAGTGACATAAAAATTATTTTCTGTTTTGAACTGAAATTGTTCACTTGTATTTAAACTTATGGATATTTTAACACTGTTACAACATATAAAGGAAATTAGAGGTTGATATACCTTTCTTTTTCTCTCCTTCTTTCCCTGTTCTGTACAGGTCAATGCTACAAGGGTCACATGATACAGTTTTCCTGGCTTACATTTTGTAAGTTGACAGCTCTGTGATGACGGACCAAGATGACAGTATGTCTTTCCATTAATTTCTAATTTGTAACCCTCAAGGTACCTGCGTAGGTAACGTGGTTTACCTTCTGCGTCTTTTCCAACTACGGACATCAGTAACGGTTTCTCCCAGTATAATTGTGCGGTAGTTTGAGTATAACCTGTTATCAAGAGGACAGGTGGTTCTGTTGGAGCTCGTGTTCGAGCGTACAATGGTCGTGACATAATGTGAGCTGTACGACGATATTGTTCGATCCCAGAGCCACTGTCGTCACCTTTTTCTAGTGAAGTTTTAACACTAACAACTGCTTCAACAATAATCTTGTACTGGTTTCCTGGTGTGAGGTCCTCAATTACGAGTGTATCTTCGGTCGGTAACAAGTTTACGTGACTTGCCACGACGAAATCATCATCTTCCTTCCTTTTGTTATATTTAACGTCAGCCCACCTAACAATAACACCTTGAAGCTTGTTTGAGCCATACACAATGGGTGGTGTCCAGACAAGTTTTAATGAAGATGTTGATGCTTTAGCTATTTTCAGAGCAGCTGGTGGCTCAGTGCCGGAGGTTTTGGTTAAAATGCTCGAGTTTGGTAACCAAGGAGAATCATCCGCGGGTAAAATGGTGTCTTTAGGAATGGTGCGCGCTGTTTTAAGGCGATGTTTATCAGGAAGTCTGTCAAAGTACTCATCGGTGATAGCTGTTATACGTGTCATGTAGTCTGTCTTCTCACGTAAACCTTGAATAACAGCAGTTGTAGCATCTGGAATAGCGTCTACAGAGACGTGATGTGGATCACCGGTGTTCAGTGATACTGCATCAATTCTGATTCCTGCAAGAAATTAAAACACACATTAAGAACATTTTTTGCTCCATTAATCCTTTTCAAATTTTCCTTACGTAACAACAATCCTACCATACATTATTCTTAAAATACATCACCAGTCAGTCAAAATTCACTTGAAAATTTCATCTACAAATAATGTCATGTATATAAAATTGCATTATAAGGTAATGGTGTAGTTTTAAATCTGTTATTAAAAATGAATACTAAAAGAATACTTTATAAAATATCTATTGAAATGAATTTGCTGTGAAAATTCTTATGTACACACCTATAACATCAACACCATGTTCTCTGGGAGGATCCCAGGCAAGTTTTATTGCTGAGCATGTGGTGGAGATTACACCGAGATTTGAGGGCGGGTCTGGTGGGCGGGCAGTTCTCACAAGGAGGTTGTCTGATTTAGCTGTCAAGATGAAGGCACTCACTGTCTCACGCCCCATAGTCTCCGCCTCTATGTACGTAAAAATAATTTTCATTAATTGATAGGTAATGTCACAATGTGTTGATATATTAAGATGAACAAAACAATGCAAATTTATGATATTAACATTTACCATTGTTTTAAGTCCAAAAATTTCTTTCATTACTTAAGTATTAAAATAACTATTAAAAAAATTATTTCGAAACTGAACTTACATAGATTTTAATTCAAATACACTGTAACAATCTATTTGTAAAATAATTCAAGTGTAGCACAAGTCAAATTATATTTCAAAATGTGTATGAATAAAGACAATACAAATTTTCTGTTAAAAGTCTGTCACCTTCTGTTTTGGATTATCAGAAATTAATGCAATATTTATATTTTCTTTACATAAGCTAGAAATTTAAACTTTTCTTAGTAAATATTAAGTTACCTTCATCTATGTCTTTATATTTCTCCATTTTTCTTGCCTCTACAACAATGGTGTAGCTAGTGGCTGGACGGAGGTTTGTAATTAACAGATGATCCTCTGAAATAAAAACAACACAACAGGTGTTACATTAATTGATGTTTTCTCTTTGTATAATTACAAACTTAATATTCATTTTAGTTAATAAACAATAATAGAACTTCAAGTTGATTCTCAGAACAAAATAAATGTCGTTTTTTATCTATGATTTAAATAATAAAGAAAAAATAAAAATAATAACAAACATATTTACTAAAAACTTAAAATTACAATTAAAAAAAAAAAAAATCATTAAATCCATTACAAGGGTGCTTCCAAACAAAACCAATGTGGCTTCTCAATTTTTCAAGCAATAATTTAAACAACTAAAAACTAAGACATCTACTTTACAGAATATACAGCAATTGGGGAGGACATCTATGTGAAAAGTAAACAGATGTTTACATCAAGGGAGAAATAATTATTTCATATATTCAAAATTTACTGAAAGATTTGTTACAAATATTCCAACTACGTTTAGAGATGTGATAATTGAAAAGGTCAAGGTCAACATGTTTTCAAATTTCTGTTTCTCTATATGAAGGCATTTTCAATTGAAAAAAAGTGATATAAACTTTAAAATCTTAAGTTACAAAAGTTTAAGAAATTAAAGCAAACATTGAAACATGTTTGATATTTCAAGCCTGTTTACTTAAATTGGCTTCGATCATTTATCAATACAAGCAAAAAACAACTTCTTGTATATCAAAATCTTGCAAGTGATTTTTACATAGGAAACTCTGAAACTTTTTGATAAAACCTATTTTGAAATGTACCTTAAACTTACCGTTCATTTCCGATTATACGATGCATTTTTGAGACTCAAATTTTCAATATATTAATACAATGTAGTTGAATTCACAGGTCACAGAGACATCATGAAATTAATTTCTTACAAAACTCAAACATGTACCATAGTTATAATAATTTGTCCAAATACACATGTCAGAATTTATTAGCAAAACCTCTTTTTTCCCAATTTGAATATCAACAATACATAAATTTTAGTTTTACATAATTGTAACAAGACATTCAATTAAACAGTTTTCCAGGACCATTTTAAGCATTTTAAATAACATAAAACAGTAAAATTTAAATTTAAACAATCTGTAAATGAGTTAAACATTGATAGTTTTACTATGATTCACTTTGTTAAAGAGCATTCACTCGCTTAAGTTTGCATGTAGCCATAGCATATATAAGCCAAACATTTGCCAAAATGATGATCACTTCAATTTAGCATTTTTAAGAAATTTAATTATTTTTCTAAATTCAAATGGACTTGCGTAAATTTTTTTCCATATCTTTCTTAATTGAATTTTTGTATATTGAATTTACATAAAAATGAATTTTGATAACTTAATATTGAAGACTTGCTAAAAGTACTATTCATACAAGATAATGTGTCAGTGTGGCAATACTAATATAGAGCCCATATCAACTTCAGACCTTCATGCCAATTATAAATTTAAAATCAAAACCATTCACTTATATCGTAACAATGTTTAATGATAATTCACAATAGTTAACTTAAAGCTTAACAATTTATGTTGAATAAAGAGCAAAATCTCACAAGCTAGAATTTAGATTTAACCTTTTGTCAAATTGCATTATGTGACAATGAACATGTATATAACTGACACATTGCCTTGAATGAATAGCAACATTTTTTTTCAATTAAAGTAAAAATAAAAATATACAGGGTGTTTAGTTATACATGATGTTACATGGAATGCCTGTACCCTACAACTACAAACTAAGCTTTAAAAAAAATCAGTGCTAAAATATTTACCATCCGCTGTAAATAACAAACAAATAAACAAAATAAAATTTTGAACAGAAATATCCTTTCTTAAGCAAAAAAAGCAAAATCAAAAATCTTTCTTCTAGTTCTTTCAAACTCTACAGTCTGTCAAATTTATCTATAAAAGAAAACAACACCCGAGGCACTAACTCTATATTAACTAAAAATAAAACAAAAAACCTTTTAAGTCTGTATTTTCAACTTAGACTTTCATTTTCAAATTTACTTTGAAAACATCTGAGAAAGTTTGCCCTAATTTTAGAATATTGTTTTCAATGTATCAAATTCTATCTTCATATCATAATATCATGATGATGATCTAACAGGATTGTTTAAATATTTTAATGTACATTTAATGCACTGGTCTATTATAACCCTGGCTCCCTCATCCCTTCAGAGAGTGTGGATGAAAGCAAAGGATAGAGCAGATTTTTCACCCTGTATTAATCCCTGCACTGAAAGGTCATTGTGGTGGTTTCTTACTATAAAATAGGCATCATGGAGATGCATTTTATTTATTATCTGATTATCCCATTTGGTAGGGCCTTTCTTTACCGGGATCTGAAAAATCTGACAGTCAAGGTTCCCCCCCCCCCCCCCCCAGTCCCTATGGATGCAAGGGCCTTGGATACAACTGACTAGTGCATAAGTTAGAGTCTAAGTTTCAAATCCAGAAAATAAGAAATCATGTTCTATTCTTTAGATTTTATGAATCAAAATATTTGTTAAATTAATTAACCAATTCACCAAATTATATCCTCTAAAAAGTTACATATTATTCTGTTACCAGTGACGGGATTTGAGGACGGTGAAATTTTTTCGACCAATCAAATTAAAGACGTTACCTGAAGTACTATCACTGTTAATATCATCTTCCGGTTTATCTCCGGGCCACCAGGTCACCTGATAACTCTCAGGTCGGATAAAATGCGATTTTGGCTCATCATCTGAAAATACAGAATACCATACTTTTATTACATGCTTTTCGGTGGTTTATAGAAATATATCAGTGATATAAAACTGGTAATTTCACTGTTTGAAACAGTGAAATTACCAATTTCATAATTTCACTGTTTTGAATTTAAGCCCCTTACGTTGTTTCAGTGAAATACCAGCTTGCACAGTACTGGGTACCAACTTAATGACGTGACGTCGTAAATGACATCACGTTGTATTATTATTTGGCGCGCTTTTCATTCAGTATTAGGTTAAATGTCTTTTTAAAACGTTTCTTTGCATGTAATAAAAAGAAAATTTGTTTAGTTTAGTGTAAGATTGAAATATATTTCACCTTGTGAACACCAAAAGTTCATATTTCACTCGTGGCTGCGCCACTCGTGAAATATACCTTTTGGTGCTCACTCGGTGAAATATATTCTGATCTTACACTAAACTAAACAAATATCCTCTATTTATTTAGAATCTGATCACTGCGCCACTCGTGAAATATACCTTTTGGTGCTCACTCGGTGAAATATATTCTGATCTTACACTAAACTAAACAAATATCCTCTATTTATTTAGAGTCTGATCACTGATCAATGTATGAATGTAGTAATTAAAATGCCTTAATCACAAAAATGACCTGAAAGTGTTTGTTTTGGTGTTTATATAAAAGTGTCATAACTCCAAACAAGGAAAATATACAATATTTAAGATGAAATTGGGTTTCAAACAAGCAAGACTGGCAAACTGGTACATAATTATTTTATAAAGTTTTATTAAAATTAATACCAACAGGGACTACAACAACTGAGGATAATGATCAAATTAGCATAATTATTACCTTAAGTGAGTAATATTGATGTGATATAGTCCCTTGATGGTGCCCATAAAAACATGTACATTGTATAATTATGTATGTACATGTATGTTTATCCATATTCACATTCTGCTTAAAAGTCATTTATAATGTAACAGTTTTGCTCAGAATTTTACGGTATAGTTACAGAATGACTTTAAATAATCCCTCGAGTACCCTGATATTAATATTTCAATCATGTTTCCACAGAAAATGTCTCGTTTATTTGAACACAGTATTGACTAAATTATTTTAGATCAGGAAATATTGTAGCAGTCAATATTAACTTCTTGAAAACCCAGAAATCATGAACAAGAGAGAAAAAACAACAACAACAAACTAGACTCAAAATAAATCAATATTTGAGCCGCGTCATGACAAATCCCACATAATGGGTTTGCGACCAGCATGGATCCAGACCAGCCTGCGCATCTGCGCAGTCTGATCAGGATCCATGCTGTTCGCTTACCAACCCTATTACAAGTAGAGAAGCTGATAGCGAACAGCATGGATCCTGATCAGACTGGGCATATGCGCAGGCTGGTCTGGATCCATGCTGGTCGCAAACGCACTATGTTGGTTTTGTCATGACGCGGCTTATTTATAGTCAATATCATGTTGTTTTCTCATAAGATTGTTGTTTTTGTCATACTGCAAAATCTTTATTATTCACTGGGCACTAATTTTCGTGGTTTTCGTGGACATGTGCAGGTCAATCCACAAATTTAAGATCGAATGAAATTTCATTTTGTCTGCTGTAAGATTATTTTGCATCACATTATTTACATTTTACCTTTTGGAAAAATAAACAGTTCACCAATTTAAGTACCAATGAAAATGTTCTTGTGAAAAAACCCACAAATTTTGTGTCAACAAAATTTAACGAATTCACAGTAATTACGATCAAAGACAATTTAATTAAAAATATCTGACAATTGTCCCCCGCTTCAGAACGTTCAAATAATCGAAACTTTCACTCAACGGTAAAGATATTGATAACATTTAATAATAAAATCAAAGGTTTTTCATCAAACAAGTTTCTTGGAATGACAACTGTTTTATGAGACATGAGATAACACCAACAATCAATATAAACGTTTCTCCATCTCTCAAGGAACACTGCACATTTAAGTTTACTTGGTTTCCATTTACAACTAACATATGCTACGATTCAAACATACTCAATAATTGCAAAAGTATAAAGGTAAATACATACAAGTTTGGCTCAAAAAATAAATTTTTTAAAGGCCTGTTCACAGTGAATAACCCAGACAAGATTTTATTTTTATTTCACAAAATTTTTTTTTTTTTAATTTTGTAAGGAATGATTTAGTCCAGTCCAACTTATTGTACTATTCTTTAAGATATTGTGTAACATTTTGTGTATGGGCAAAATTTCCCCTATAAAAGCGAGATTCTGACCTAGAATAAAAATATCTCAAAATCTAGCTTTGGCAGGCCAAAATATTTTGACTAGGTTTAGTCCAGATTGAAAGATGGACAAGTCTATTATAGATATTAAGTCGGGTAAAAGACATTAAGCTTTAACGTGTTAATTGTGTTGTTGTTATCAGGTATTAATAGATCTCACTACATGTATTTCAAAATTTTCTTGTTTCTATTGACAGAAATTCACAAAACTTTACAAAAAGAAAACTATCAACTATAGACAAGATTTTATCATCAAATTTAAATAATTTATCAAACTGGCATTAATATTCATGTTTAAAAAGGTCAAAAGGTGGAATGAATATCACAAAACACAGAAAACAAAAGAAAAATTCAAGTTTCAACACTCAGCTTGTTTGCCTCATTAACATATCTCTTAAAAATGTGTTTAGTTAAATATGAACATTGGCTTTTGAGGGTAGAAATATTACATGAAAAAGAACATGTTCTCCTATACAGTCAATATATGCTCAGATTTTACTCAAGGACCCAATCTGTCAATTTATAACAACAAAACCATCAAGACTTGAAATCAAATCAAATATATCTCTAGGATTGTTCATAACATCAGCAAACAGGCTTGATTTACTGTGTAAATAAGTTTCAAGTTGAGCAGATTTAGCTTAAAGAAATCTTCTATAGCAAGGTTCATCATGAATGACATGCCTCCAATGTTTACACATCATATATTTAAGAGCATTTTTAGCTCGACTTTTCTATGAAAAGGGGAGCTATCCTACTCGCCCCGGCGTCGGCGTTAGCGTTGGCGTCACACCTTGGTTAAGTTTTTCGTACCACCCCACTTTATTTCAGAAGTATTACAAGTATGGCTTTGAAACTTACCATACTTGTTCACCATCATAACCTCCATCTACAGACAAGAGTACATAACTCTGTCAAGGTTTTTGACAGAATTATGGCCCTTTTTTGACTTAGAAAGTGTATTGAGCTTGGTTAAGTTTTTTGTACCACCTCACTTTATTTCAAAACCATTGGAGGTATTGCTTTGAAACTGACCATACTTGTTTACCATCACGACCTTCATCAACAGACAAGAGGACATAACTCTGTCAAGGTTTTTGACAGAATTATGCCCCTTTTTGACTTAGAAAATACATTGAATATGGGTAAAATCCACTTATTGCCTTAACCCTTTGAGATATTGCTTTGAAACTTTTAATGCTATTTCACATCATTACCCCCATCTGTACGCAAGAGAAGGTAACTCTGTCAAGGATTTGTTTTAAAAATTAAGGCCTTTTATCGACTTAGAATCTTGGTTAAGTTTTTAGTACCAGTCCACTTTTTGACTGAACTGTTTGAGATATTAATTTGAAAGTTGGAATACTTGTTTACAATCATGATTCCCAAACATGTCCAGGAGAAGGTAATTCTGTCAAAGATTTATTTGAATTATGGCCCTTAACTGTCAATGTTTTGTATTATAGGCAAGCACTAAAAAACTTAAAAAATCTAAAAAAATTCATTCCTATCCACTTGTTCACTTTACCATAAATTATGTCATATAAACATTGCTGTAATATTCAAGGGTATCAAACAACTAGTTCACTTTAAAAATACAGAGATTCTTGTATTGCCTTTTACTGCAAAAACTTTTTTTATTGGCAAGCAATAAAAAAGTCGAGCGCGCTGTCTTACGGACAGCTCTTGTTTTTATAGATCTCACACCTGCTTATTACCTTAACTTAAGTGCTACTTGGCATGCAGATTTAAACAAATCTACTGTTATAAATTTTTTCTAAAAAGAATCGGTAAAGAAAAAAAACAGAAAAAAGATGCCAACGGAACTGCTTTGAATTTTTTTTAATTATCAAAAATAATAAAAGAAAGAAAACTAGATAAATATTATAAGAAAAACACAAACAACAAGAGCTGTCCGTAAGACAGCGCGCTCGACTTTTTTATTGCTTGCCAATAAAAAAAGTTTTTGCAGTAAAAGGCAATACAAGAACCAAGATTCTAAGTCGATAAAAGGCCTTAATTTTTAAAACAAATCCTTGACAGAGTTACCTTCTCTTGCGTACAGATGGGGGTAATGATGTGAAATAGCATTAAAAGTTTCAAAGCAATATCTCAAAGGGTTAAGGCAATAAGTGGATTTTACCCATATTCAATGTATTTTCTAAGTCAAAAAGGGGCATAATTCTGTCAAAAACCTTGACAGAGTTATGTCCTCTTGTCTGTTGATGAAGGTCGTGATGGTAAACAAGTATGGTCAGTTTCAAAGCAATACCTCCAATGGTTTTGAAATAAAGTGAGGTGGTACAAAAAACTTAACCAAGCTCAATACACTTTCTAAGTCAAAAAAGGGCCATAATTCTGTCAAAAACCTTTACAATACAGAGAAACTGAAAAATAGCAAAGAATCAACAAGTCAACATGAAAACATTTTATATAAATGTATTTTGATAAATTTAATAAATTATACTATTCAAATGTTATCAATAGATTATCCTTGCAAAATCGAAACCAACATAATATTTATGTTTCATTTATAATATTAATGTCTGAATAAAGAAAATTATAATAAAAGAATTACTCACTACCTCTTAAGGCAAAAACATCCAGATAAAATTACACTTAAAGACGGGTTATAATCATTTTAACTGTCACATTTTTATAATGTTTTAATAATGAACACCAAAATATCAGTGCATTAAAATTATCCCTGATATG